TGTTGTTTGTTTTTAAACAAAGTGTGCGCATGCGCCGTTGGGTGCTTGTGTGCATCCTGTGGAGACTTGGGGGAAAAAACACTTTTAGCGACGGGACATGGGTGGGCGCCGGATGCCATGACCTACCACCAGAAACGCGATCAGGTGCCCACCCTTGCCCCATGGTTTCCGGAAACTAGTACCTCGGAGGTACTAGTTTTTTTACCCCGCATCTTCGGTGGGAAGCCTCGGGTTCTCCACGGGAGCTCTACACTTCCCAGATGTGGCACTGTGATCGCACCTGGAAAATCCGCCTATCTTCCGTCTCTCTAGTGTGGCTAATGCTCCGTGTGACCGGGACCTATGATTCCCAAGTCTCACTGAAAATAAAAGAAAATGTCACAGAGTTGGAGGTGTATTTATTTAGTCACATTCGGGGCGGGGGGGAAATGAGATGTTTAAAAAGCAGTTTAGTTGGAACTTGACGGACCAATAGTCTGATTCGGTATAACCCTGCTTTATTTGCGAGTTGTTCTATTTTGGGGGCTATGGCTCAGTGGAAAATACTCTGCTTTGCATGCAGAAGGTACCAGGTTCAATCCCCAGAAGCATCTCCACTTAAAAATAACAGGTAGCAGGTGATGTGAAGGACTCTGCCTCAGACCCTGGAAAGCCGCTGCCAGTCTGAGTAGACAAGACTAACCTTGATAGACTAAGGGCCTGATTCAGCATAAGGCAGCTTCGTGTGAGTTCGGGCGTCAGGATCCAAGACCCAGATTTTGGTGTTTCCGCATCAGTGAAATCCTGACACATTTATACCATGGAGCTCAGGACAGTATTTCACAGTATCATAGAACTGGAAGGGACCTCCAGGGTCATCTAGTTCTCCCTTCTTCCATTTTATCCTCACAACAATCCTGCGAGGTAGTTTAGGCTGAGAGAGAGATTAAGTGGCCCCAAAGTCATTCACCAAGTGGAGATTTGAACCTGGGTCTCCCACATCCAAGTCAGACAATTCAACCGCAACACCACATTGGTTCAGGTTTTTGGCCTCTCCACCACGCACCAAAGAAACCATTTGCTTTTCATCATTTAGCGTGAAACTGACAAACAGTTTGCTTCTTCGGCAGTTCAAGAGGCTACAGAGAGAGAGGGGGCTTTCAAAAAAACCCCTCTGCTCTGTGCACAGTTCTCTCCAGTGAACTCAGAGGTTGTAGAGGACACGAAATGGCAAATGTTATGTTACCTCTTTCAGGATGAATTCAAATTGTCCTGTATCCAGGAGAAGCTGGAAAAGGATCTTGGGGTTGTACTTCGAATCCGTTAAAACTTGGTCCTTTATTTGGCGAAGGCGTTTGTTATTCGGATCGCAGGCTAGGAACGAAGGGAAAAACAATTGCTTTTTTTTTTTTTAAGACTATTTATAATTTTTTGAAAATATAACATTTAACACAAACAAGCTGTAAACTGCATGAGTGGATAGTACTTCATGTCTAACAGTATAGAAGTGGCAATCTATACTGTAACTGAGAAACAAACACAATTTTAGATCGTTCAAAAGAATAAGAGTTTCTGGTAATGGCGATTATTAGGAACAAAGTCTCCGATAGGTATGCAATCATTGGAAACCAAATTGCTTGGAATTTACGTAAACTACTGCCCGAGGTGAGAGCCGCATTCTGTGAGTCCATTTTCCCCAATAGAAAATGTTCCCAAATCTTGTTTTTCCAAGAAATCAAGGTAGGGGGTTTCTCATCTTTCCATTTCTGAGCTATAGCAAGTCTAGCAATTGCTTTTTCAAGAGGCACAGGACATACCTTAAAAGCTTGTTACTATGAATGAACTCAGGAATTTTGGTCCAGAAAAGTCCATCAAGAGTCCAGCACTCTGTTTCCAACAGTGGCTAGACTAGCGCCTCTGGGAAGCTCACCAACAATTTGTGGAAGTGGTGGGACTTTCCCTTGTTGTCTATACCAGACACCAGATATTCCAAGACATAGTGCTTCTGAATATGGAGGTTCTAATTTGACATATTTTTTTAAAATATAGCGGCCCTCCTATAACATCAAAAGAACAAAAATACTTAGATACGTCCCTTCTATTCAAACAAGGGCATGAAGAAGGCTAGGGTACGCAAGACACTGATGTGGATGGCTATGGTTCTTAATTCTTCAGTTTCACACTAACAAGCCTGTGTAAGAAGGCACTCCACAAGGAAGGAGTCTCTCACTCTATGCAGACTGGGCATTACCCCTAGAATGGAAGGGGACCTCAACTGGTGTCTGGTCTTCAAAGAAAAGGCAATATCGTGCTTGAAGTTGGATGGCAGACGGTCAGACAGGCTTAAGAACACCCCCATTTTGTGTTAAATGAGTGAGCAACTCCCTAGGCACTGAGCAGGGCCACACCAATATTGCCAAGTATTAGGGCCCATTCATTCATGTTTTTGGCTTTGTTTATAGTAACTCTGTGTTTGGTGGCTCCCGGTAAGTGATTGTTACAGTTTTTAAAATGTGAATCCCTAATTCAAGCTTGTTCACTAGCAGTTTGCACAGTGATAAATATACACGACGATGATGATGAATGCATCACAGGTTAAAATCAAATCTGGCCTAGATTGAAATGAATGTTAAACAAGTATAAAGCCAACAGTCGTGATAGTCTGACCCACAATCAAACAGTCATAAGACTTATAAAGAATGCTGTTTATGAATTGCAATCTAAAGCACTATAACATGATACACAACGTCGTCTCCGGATTACATAACAGCGTTTCAAAAAATGAATCTTCTTCAGGAGATATTATAGTGGTGCCAAAGCTCTCAGTTTCATAAATGTTAGACAACAAGTCTTAAGAATATTAAATTCAGGCTCAAAATATGCTGCTATGTTTCTACTGGATCCCGGGAGAGAGAGACGCCCGGGATCCAGTAGAAACATAGCAGCATATTTTGAGCCTGAATGTTAATTGAGATCAGCGTCCTATCTGAATTTAGTATTCCTTAAGACTTGTTGTCTAACATTTATGAAACTGAGAGCTGAGTTCTGTATCATGTTATAGTGCTTTAGATTGCAATACATAAATAGCATTCTTTATAGGTCTTATGACTGTTCGTGGGTCAGACTATCACGACTGTTGGCTTTATACTTGTTTAACTGATTGGGTCGTGTGTGTCCAGATTTTTTTGCTAGATTGAAATGAAACCATCCCTCTTTCTTTTCTTCTCCCACTTCCAAAGCGGAACACAGGCCAGTACTGAGTACCAATCAGAAAGCGTCTGATGACCCTGGAGGTCCCTTCCAACTCTATGATTCCCATCTTCTGCTCTCCACCCAAGCCCGTGAGGAAGAGTACTAGGAAGAAGGAAGAGGAGGAGATTGGATTTATAACCCACTCTTCACTCGGAGTCTCAGAGCGGCTTACAATCCCCTTCCCTTCCTCTCCCCACAAAAGACACCCTGTGAGGTAGGCGGGGCTGAGAGAGCTCTTTCAAAGACTACTCTTGAGAAAACAGCTCTAAGAGAACTTGTGACTGACCCAAGGTCACACCTGCAGCTGCATGTGGAGGAGTGGGGAATCAAACCCGGTTCTCTCCCAGATTAGAGTCCATGTTCCTAACCACTACACCAAACTGGCTCTAAGTTACTTTCCTTAGTTACTCTCACCCCAGCCTACTATGAGATCTGGCATTACCGAAACTACACAGGTGGGCTACAAATCCTGAAATATGTGTGAAGTTGTGACCCAGGGCTGCCTCCCATGGATCTGTTCCACTAACCATAGGCTTTTCCTTCTGGGGGAAAGCTCCTTTCACTAGAAGAAATTGCCTCCACTGGGGGACAGATCTGCGAGACCCAACCTTTTATACACCAGGTTTCTTTTTTATGGTGGGAAGCGCTGTCAAGTCACAACAGGCTTAGAGTGACACCTCATGGAGTGTTTAAGACAAGAGACAAACAGAGGTGGTTTGCCACTGCCTGTCCCAGCGTAGCCAGGTACTAACCAGGGTCGACCCTGCTTAGCTTCCAAGATCTGATGAGATCAGGTTAGTCTGAGCCATCTAGATCAGAGTTTCTATTTTAACATCCAAGAAAGATATGATGGAGGAGGAGGAGAGATTGGATTTATACCCCACCCTTCACTTGGAATCTCAGAGCGGCTTACAATCTCCTTTCCTTTCCCCTCCCCACAACAGACACCCTGTGAGGTAGGTGGGGCTGAGAGAGCTCTTTCAAGGGCTGCCCTTGAGAGAACAGCTCTGAGAGAACTTGCGACTGACCCAGGGTCACACCTGCAGCTGCATGTGGAGGAGTGGGGAATCGAACCCGGTTCTCCCAGATCAGAGTGTAGTGGTTAAGTGTAGTGTAGTGGTTAAGATCACTCTTAACCACTACACCAAACTGTCCCTGAAGGTTGCTCCAACTGGGAGCAAAGGAGGATTCCAAAGCATCCATTGGGACGACAGGAGGTACAGAGGGAAGAGGAAGGAGGAACGCCTACTCCCCACTCCACGATGCTGGCTTCCCACCCTTACCTGTGTCTGCTGTGTGAAGCATCACCCACCGGATTGCCACGTTGCAATCCCGCAAGCAGTTCAGCAGCTTGGGAATGTTGTCCAGCACCATCTCCTCTCGCAGGCAGCCTTCCTTCAGAAGTTGTCGCACTTGGGAGTGCACACGCTCAGTGACAGCGGCATACCTGCTTGCCTTTGGGAGGAAGAGAGTCCATATGCACTAGTGCTAAGAGAGGGAGGGGGCTGCAGGGCAAAGCCCCAGGCAGGCGAGTTAACGTTGCTCCAAGCAGCAGTATCTTTCAGGCAGCACACACAATCTCAGGGATTTTTGCATGACCTGTAATTCTTTTAGCTCTACTGTACAAAATACAGTCATAAAAAATGATCTGATGCAGTTCCGCAGGGCCTGCAAAGCAGAGACATTCTGCCAGGCATCTGGCTGAGGACGGCGACGGTGCCCATCTGGCTGGCACTCTCACCCCCCTCTCACCCTGCAAGGTGGTAGAGCGACTGGAAATTCTGACCGCCATCTGTTTGATTCTGAATCGACTCAGGATTTTATTGTCCCTTTTTAAAAACTTGTATAATGTGTCGGTTTCATTGTGTCACTGCATACCGCCCTTAGAGAATGGGCGGTATAAAAACTGAATTCAATAAATAAATAAATAATAAATGAATAAGGCTGTTAACCTCTAATTCAGGGGTCCCCAACCTTTTTGGGCCTCTGGGCATCTTTGGAATTCTGACACAAGGTGGTGGGCCCAGCCACAAAATGGCTGCCGCAGGAGACAGAGCAAACTACAAAATGGCTACCACAAGAAGTGGAACCAGGGCTATTTTTGGACAGGAACACACAGGAACGGCGTTCCGGCTGGCTCCCAAGTCGGCCACGCCCAGCAGGAACTCATTAGCATAATAGGCCACACCCAACAGCAGAAACTCATTAGGATTGGCTGCATTAGGGGTGTGTGGCCTAACATGCAAAGGAGTTCCTGCTACAAAAAAAGGCCCTGGGTTTTGACAACAAACAAGGTAAACAGAATAACAAGCAAAAGGAGGGTGTGGCTGGATGAGCACACTTCTGGTAACATGGGGGTGAGAAG